ACTTCTTGCAATTTTTATATTTTCTAGGGGAAAGGCTGGAAGAGATACGGAGCAGGAACTAGAGAAAAGATAGCTCAATTGCAACTGCTCCTTTTTTCCCCATCTCTAGTTTCCAGAAAAGACGATCTATTTCCAAAAGTGACTAGGGGAGATATTTCCATCTATAGGAACAATGTTGTGGTGGATACCTGGAAATTTGAAAATGTACCTTGGCTGCAGATTTTGGACTTTCAGTCCAACTTTACAGTGTTAGGACTCAAAGCTGTTACTCACTCTGTGCTGGGTAACCTCTCCCATTACATCTCAGACTCGGTAGTTTAATCTGATGCTTTGTTTGAGTCATTCATTATGTCTGGGTTCATTCCCCACATAAATTTTTACAGCAAGGAGGAGGTCAGTGAGATTTTCTGGGAAATTGTGAATAACAAATATCTCCCTATAGTTCCTTTTATTGTACCCCAAGCTGTGCAACTGGAAGCATTTCTTCCTGACCTCTTCTGCCTATAAACTGTCCCTGGAGGTATGCAGACCAATACTGTTGCTTAATGTACATGATATTCTTTTTTTTTTTTTTTTTTTTTAAAAAAAAAAGCCACTAGATCTTTTCTAAAAGTATCTCAGATGATTTGTGTCTGAGGTATTCTGTGCCATTGAGCTCTAAAACCTCCAAATATTTGTTTGATATCTCTGATTATCCAAGAGAAAAAAAAAAAAAGAAAACAAAACAAAGCAAAAAAAAACCCAACACAAACAATCCTGCTATATCTTTATACAAACAACCATGAATGACATTAAGGTTGGAAAGTTGCATCTAAAAATGTTATAAAATGTTAGATCATCCAGAGTGTTAGTAAGGAATGACTTTGTTACCAAGGCTTAACTTTTCTTTAGGGAAAGGTGACTTTCTGTCTGCTTCTTCATGTTTCTTTGCTTGTCCATGGCAAGTCTCACCACAGAAAACCAACAGCTTTTGGGTCTAATCTAAAGCTTCTTGCGCACCGGACAAATTCTCCCTGAGGACAAATTCCATTCCTTATTTTCATGGCAGGCCCTGTGAGCAGGAGCTTTTTTCACAAAGACAAAGTTTCAAGAGTAGCTGTGGCATTGATCTCATCAATGAGATTTGCTCTCGCATAATGGCTTTGCACCAAAGGACTTGGCTCTGGTAATGAGTCCGTGTGTGAAACCTTTGAGTACAAGTTTTACCCTGCAGTTAGTGAGTTTGATCAGCTGCTGGCTGGGAGTTACTTATTTTCTACAATCAAGGTTATTCAGAAGTGAAGTTCTAGGCAGTTTTTATTGTGTTCAGTGGTGTTTTATAAAGATGCACTAGAGCATCTTCAGAAGTCACACGCCGGTTGTATCTATTGGCCAGATATGTCCTATAACATCAAGAGGGTTAAGGCATAGGACCTGATGCAAGCATGCTTGAAAACACTTTACTCTTTCTTCCAGTTGGTAACTTGTATTTCATTAGTTGCAACTTGCCTCCAAGTCCCTGAAATTCCTTTCCAAATTTTTTTTTCCAGAACTGCATCACTCCTAGCTCAGACATTTCTTCTTCTCAGAGCAAATCCTATCTGTTCCTGTGTGTCTGTTGCTCCATCTGTCTGATCTGTTGCTTCACAGTCTGGAAGGGAATACCTTTTGAGTTGTTTCACATATATCTTATAACCACCGCAGAGCTTTGCTTGAAGGGGCCAAACTCATCTATGACGGTGAAACTTCTCTGACTTCAAGGTAGTTATAAAAGGGATGGATTTGATCTTCGCTTGGGACCACTCCAGATACAAAATGTGTATCTGTGCATGTGAACAGTCAGAGGTGGGGAGGGGAATCAAATGTAAGATTTTGCAGAGATTGTTCCAGGACAGTAGTAAATCATATACTCATTGCTACACTGCACAGAATACGCTAAAGGAGAGCAAGAAAAATGAAGGAACATGCAATTCTGCCCACTTCAGCAGTTAGGCTTTTGTTAGAATACTCTTAAGCAATTACAAAGCTGCCAGGACTGTATTTAATTAAATATATAAATATCCGTACAAAAATAAAACCCAAGCAACACTTACATCATGCCTACAAGGTGTTATTGTTCTGTTTGTTTTTTACAGATGGACATTTTGTCAGGCAAAAACTTGCCAAGTGCTGTGAGAGAGAGAGTGAAAGAGAGAGGGAAGGAGGTAGGGGGATGTAGTGAAAAGAAATGTTGATACTACAAGAAAAATGGCAGCTCTTATATTTCAGAGAGGCAAACACACTACAGTGCACATGTGACAAGGAAGTGTGACTTGAGTTCCCTACTTAAGGCTTCACTGAAATTGCCCAGTACTTATGGGAAAACAGATGACAGAGTAATTAGAGATAGTGCATATAATTTATCATCCATGGTCTTGAACTTCCTGTAGCTGATTTGAATGACCAGATGATTTTTACTAGCAGACTAAATATTTTGGGGAGAAGGGTCGAGGCAACAGAGCTGAGTATAAAAAATAACTCTTACTTGCCTAGAATCATGAATCTTTGACCCCCGAAAGACAAGAAGCATGCCTGCAGAGGGTGAGGGGACATGCAGCCAACCACCACCTATGGCTCTGCTGCTCTTTCTGAAACAGGTTTTGCACGCCGAGAATCACTTAACTTCGCACGCACACCCACGGAAATATGGGGCTGCTTTTGCTTCTAATGGGATGATAGTCCAGCTGGCTACGAATTCATGAGCACATTAAGGCTTTGCCCACAGGCCAGGCATGTTCCTGGAGGTCTGTGTCCTCGTGGGGTCTTGCAGTCTGCTGAATCCTGCCTAGTGGAAAAGCAGGCACCAGGTTTGATCCCGGGCTTCTTTGGCGTTAGTGAGACTAGTTAAAAACTTTCATATAGTAAATATTTTAAACTGCAACCAGCGTGGGGCAGGATAACTCAGGAGCAAAGTCACGGAGTATACAGTTTATATCTTGTTGGTTAAATTATCTCAGAAATATGAATGCATTCACACTGAGTGATATTTTCTGAAATGTTAGTGTCCTACATGGAGGCAAGCAAGGCATGTTTCCTTCTCAGCTACCAGTAATGCAAAGCAACATACCTGTCCACTTGGTCAAATGATTTTTAATGGCACTGAAATCCATCAGGTACTGCCTGGAAGTCACATATCCTGCCTCAGCATTCGCTCAACTGTGCCAGTGTTGTGGTGGTTTTCGTCTGTCCTAGGAAGGAGACCAAGTCTGTTACTGCAACTCAATATTCACAGCCTTGAGAGATGCTCCTGCAGTCTGATGACTCCCAGGCACAGGACTTTGTCTTTAGCTTCAGCCAGAGAAGTGTTTTTGGTCTAAATACTGGATTCCTGGCCTGGGTGCTATTACAAAGAAAGATGATCAACCTGAAATGGCCTCTACATGAGACTTCCCCATCATTTTACACGTGCTTCATGTCCACTTATGACCTACAGGAGTGTGAACCTACAAAGGAAGGGGTTTTTTTTCAGAGCAGGGGAAAAAGTCCACATTGTTACCTGGGAACTTCTTAGCCAGCAGAAGGGATTGAAAAAGAGTGTTAAGAAGAAATAACGCTTGGATTTTGCTTTCACTCCATAAAAGCTGTGCCTATAGTTTTCAGAAAGGCTAAAGGAATTAAGTATCCATTTCTTTCTCAAGTGGAAAGCCTGGAAGGTAAATGTTTTGCTTGCTGTATTTTAGCCTCAGAACTGATCGTGCGATGGGTTTATCTGTGCTCCTTTATTACCTGAACGGTCCCATAGTTTAATTATCCTAGCAACAGACTCTTATGTTAATTTACGAAGAGAAAAACTCAGGGACATCCATAAGCTCCCACACAGAAGCACTGATGACGAAACAACTTGGCATTGGGTGCACTTTCTGTATTTTCCTCAGACTATCTCAGGTGGAGGCTGCAAAATGAAAATGCTCCACTGATAAACACTTGTGAATGGTATGTGAAAGAAGCTCTCATTTCAGGTGCAAATCCGATAGCTTCCCCTGCGCTTTGAGGGAGAGGATTAATTTCCTTCGCCATGCGCTTCTCATAGCTCCACTCGCCCCCCCATCTTCAGGATCTATATCCAAACCCTCCATCTGAACCAAAAAGCTGTATCTGTCCCTTAGTAAAACATCTTTTATTTGCCAACTTGTTTTTCCCACAGACTCCCGCTCCCTTTTGTGTTTGCGCTAATGTTCCGAATGTCTACACCGCGTAGCCGATGATTATTTGTGAGACAGAGTGAGTTAATGCAGATTTGCAAGCTGTTCCCATTTGTTAAATGTCAGAAAAACACATGCAAGTCACTGGCTTTAGCACTTAGCTGCCAGCTGGCTCTTCTGAAAGGAGGGGACAAATGACAGTCTATCAAACAGCATGCTTTCAAAGAAAGAGGAGACCTGTTCCAGAACTGCAGCTTCAGAGGCTCTTTTAACAACATAAGCAAAACTGGGAGCCAACCTCATTTTTTCCCCCGACTGTAATGAACACATAGCTTAGCTACAGCATTCACCCACCCCCAGTAAAAACAAACTGGAATTACAAAGATTATGAAGGAAACAAGTGTCAATTTTTTTCTCTGTCTCTTTTTTCCCTTCCTTTTTTATTTTTTTTTTTTAATTTAAAATTTCTTTTTGTCTCAAAAATAAAACCAAAAATGTCAAAAGGGAAAGGAGTGGGCTTCTGAGATCAGTCTCAAATCTCAGAAGAAAATTGGAGGAAATTGTGCCAAATGGAAGTGTTTATCCATGGGTAAGTGCCCAGTGTAGATTAACATATTTTAATTATGGTCTCCGGGTTTACTGCACTCCCTGAAGAATACATGGTTTAGGCCTCACTGGTGAGCCAAAGTTGTCGGGGGGGGGGATTATTTTTGGTTGTGCATGCTGACGGAGAGCTCTGTCCTCGCTGCACCCGAGACGTGCCTTTCTCCTCGAGCAGATGCTGCAGGAGTTGCGGCGGTGCCGGTTTCTTTATGCCACTCGACATGCTCCGACCCTGACCTGGAGGCCACCGCTCCTCTGCTGCGGCTGCCAGCGCGGGGGCCCGGGCGTAGCGCTGCTTTCCCGGGTGATGTCCACCAGGACCTCCAACATCACCCGCTCATTAGGATGTCTCTGAACAGCTGTCATGTGGTGCTGACTTTTTGTCACAGTTGACAGCGGTGAGATTAAAGCAGGTAGCCGGAGGCTGAAAAAGTCTGTGTTCTGTTACAAAGCCCTGAGTCATCTAGTCCCCTGTTATAAATATTAGGTGTCAGATCTGGATTCACACTGAGTCACTCGTAGCCTTGGGTAGATCCCATTGCACAAATGGTCCAATTTATTGCAGCAGGACTATTTGTATACAAGATTGCCATCATTGTCAAGATGTCAAAATCTGGCCTTGTGTGTTTAATGCTTCATAATTAACAAGCTGTATTGTGCTAGTGAACATCTCCTAATTATACAAGAAGATTTTGAAATGAGTGGTCAGTTCCCAAAGTTTTCTGTGGTTTAAACTCTGCTGGTTAGGACAGGTCTTTGAGAAGAAAGAGTGTTATGTCAAGCAAGATTCATCTTTTCTGCCTTCCTTTTTCTTATTCCAAGAAACATCTTATTCTAAGGAACATCCAGGTTCATTCTTATGGGGCAAAGAGACAGACAACACTATGAAGAAGGTAATTCATGCCGCATAGCTTACAGAGGGAGTCCCTGCTGCTTACCTCTGTCACTGGAGGGAGCCCAGGTGACTCCAGGTAACTCCACGTTCAGTGCTGCCCAATGAAATTGGAAAAACTAGGTGAAATGAAACCGTTTCTGATTGCCTGCAAAGCTCATTGCTCTGCTGCTCACAAATGCATCTCAGGAGCACTCCCAAAGAAGGACTCCGGTGCCAAACATAGTCTCAAATTGTCATCCAGACCACACCTCCTTTCAACTGTTTAATCTATGGGAATCATAAACTCTCTGGGTGTCCATGCTTTTACCCTGAAAACATACCCTGGGCACCCCTAAATTTGAACAGTGGGTTGACTGACTCCTGCCTAAATCCCAGTGAGATCCAGGAATTAGGCAAAGTTAAGCCTCTGAATCTGATAGGTACAACTTGAACCATCCCTTATGTTTTCAAGTTGAGCACAAGGCCTTACTTCAGTCAAGGCCCCTTTCATAGATAAAACAGATCTAGCTAGTTAACCAAAAAGTGAGCTATCCCAGGTTCCAGGCTGTCCTTATTCAGATGAATACAAAATAAGAGATTTCAATTGCTCTAAACTTCTCATTATAGTCTCAAACTCTACACTTTGAGACTGTGGGGAAAAGGGATATAAAACTTACTGTTCTGCAGCTGGAGCAATCTAACCCCATTTTGAATTTTGAGTGTTCAGGGTCTTCAGAGCTATGTCCACAGAGACATTCAGCGATATTTAGGCACCCAACTGCTATATGTCTCAGTTCCTTCATCAAGAGAGATCACAATCAGCTTGGATGTGAAGAGTATCAGAAAATGAAAGCACCAAGCAGTATCAGCCTGTGGAGAGAAAGAGAAGACAGTTTCCATCTGAAAATTTCCTCCACATTAGATTCTTATTATCTTTCCTTTTGGACCATAAACTGTTACGTGCAATTGGGCTTGAGATCATTCAACTAAAAAGAAAGGCTCCCATGTACATCTGCCTGGCAGGCCTGTCCAAAGGTACCTGCTTTTCCTGCTCCCCTCATCGGGTCTGGCTGCTGAAGCTTATTAGACAAAAGTGTTATGATATAGTAGCCTCTCCAAACTTCGAAGTCTGACTCCAAATACTGAGATCACCAAATTTGTTGCAGGTTAGCGTATTCCGTTCCTGCATTTTTTAGTGGCTTGAGAATA